TCTGGAGAGAGTTTGCTGCACTGAAAGTAAAGGGGCTGAATAATTTTGCACGCCCAATGTTTCAGTTTTTTATTTGTTAAAAACGTTTGAAATATCCAATAAATTTCGTTCCACTTCATGATTGTGTCCCACTTGTTGTTGATTCTTCACAAAAAATTACAGTTTTATATCTTTATGTTTGAAGCCTGAAATGTGGCAAAAGGTCGCAAAGTTCAAGGGGGCCGAATACTTTCGCAAGGCACTGTATGTTGTTCAAGCAGACTGAATATTTCATTTTTCAGCTGCGACAATCAATGTAAGTTCTCTGTGGCTCAGAAGGAGCTTTCCAAGCTTATTAAATAAGGTTATAAAATAACCTGATAATTTCAGGGACTTAACACAATTTTTTTACTGAAATTCTGCAATACAAACTGGAAGTGTGGGCTTTAAAAAGAGTGTGAGTCTAATGAAAGATGCCATTGGATTGCATTATGGGAATTGTAGTATCTGGTAGTTATGGAAACCACCCAGAATCTAAATCAGAATCTCCCAATCAGTCAGTTTGTTTTCCACAATTATTGTTTATGTCTGACATGCTAAATGTTTATAGAATTTTCAACCATTTGCCAAGTTCAGCATCATGTACTAATTTACAGTAGCCTCTTAATGAAGCTTTTAAGGATCAGCAAAGACAGAGAAACCTACAAAGATCTAATGAACCATCAGTCATCAAAATAAGTTCTTATTCTCCATTGTACATTTGTCAACAAGCATAAGTGCATTGTATCCTAACAATGGGGCAGTAAAAAGCCTTTCTACAATCTGTGGATAGGAGTTAATGTTTGCTCCTCTGTGTGAGGGGAAGCAAATGCATCACCCTGCTGCTCTACAAGAGTGATTTCCTCTTCTGTGGTTTGGCCAACAGATGGCAGCAGTCACACTAATATTATTCTTCCTGAGTTGGACTGAAGTGCACGTAATGTTCACAGTTTTCTCTAACATTAGGTGATACTGAGAGATGATCATGGTATGTCTAAAAACAGCTACACGCTCTGCAAAAGCACTGTCTCACCCTTCTGGTGACCCCTATGCTTTCTTACTGGGACAACTGGGACTCCCTTTAATAGGTACAGGTAGCAGTAGTGTGAAGTCAGTATCAGTGGAAAGGACATGTGTCTAAGGGCTCACACTTGAGATTCTAAAGGTACTGAATTCCACTTGTATCAGCATAACATAGAAATAGAATCTGGGATTACTGTAACATTAACTATAGCTGTTTTTACTCTTTTCTCCAGAGAACTCAGATCACAGTGCATCAACCTTCAAACTGCAAGTAAGAACATGCTGTAGACCACTGATTATCCAAGCATGAATGTCAAATGCAGTCACTGCAGACAGCAGTACCTCTAACTTCTACCTTTTCCCAAGAACATATTGTGCTACTGGGAATCTACGTGTATTAACATGTCCTTAAAAGGTCCATGTTTGATAGGGTGCACAGTGCAGTAGTTCAGTGCCTGAAATGCTGCTCCCCTGCAGCCCTGATGGTCCATGCACATCCTAAATGCCAAAAGGCAACTATTTTCTTCTCTTTGGTCTTTCACTATACATTTATTAGCCCGCTCTCAGTCTCGTATACAAAGTTTCTGAACAGGATTACAGAATTTCCCATAGGCTAGAAACACAATTAAATCTCTTTAGTCAGATAGCCTACTATTCATAGATTTGTTAAAAAAAAAAAAAAAAAAAGGTAAAAATGGAACAAAATGAATTACTGGAGAAATTCTGTATCCCATACAGATGTCAGGACATTCCCTTATATTTAATGAAAAAACTTTTGGCTTTTAAATAAGCTGCTTTTAAACACCAGCTGGCTTGGCCCTGCAATTACCTAAGTCTGTGTACAGGACTGCTGTGTCAGAGGAGGAGAGTTTGGCTCAGGCTGTTTTGACGCTGAGCGAAAGCAGAGAGGAGGAGTCGCCCTGTCAACTATTCGCAGCTCAAATCCAATCTGGATTAGAGTTTTGTCCAGTCCGCAGCCAGGACTCCAGTGATCACATTATTCTGTGTTGGGCTGAAGCGGAATGTCAAACCGTAGCAACATTACTGACACGTTTACCTTAAAGGCAAACTATTTATTTCAATAAGCTCTTTTAAGGACTTTGGAGATTTTGCGACGAAGACAGGCTACGATCCGAGTAAAGTTGACTGAATATCGGTTGCCTGTAGCCGGTGCGCATCTCCGTGCGTGCAGCTCACTGCAAGATGCTGCATATACAGTGATCACTGCAGCCGCATTTCTGCACAAACCGATGCCTTTTATCACGAATCTCTGCCACCGATGTCACAGAAGCAGCTGGTCAAATAGGCGGTGCCAGGTTCAGGTGAGTGCTTTTTGTTTTTACTGACTGCAGCACATTGTCGGTTTTTGTGTAGGGGCCCTGACCCATGCTGCAGATTTTCAAATATAGTGCTTGTGAATTTTTCTACAGGTGAAGACTGAAAGAGTGGCAACTGGCAACACAGTGATGAATTTGACATCCTTTGAGATTGTGTGGTGTAGAAGATAATTATTTAAGAATGTAATTATGTAAGAATGTTAACACTGTTATAATTTTTTAGTATATTACTTGTGTGGGTAGAAGAGAATTATTTACTGCTTGCAAACCAATGATGGTAAGATGATGTCATGGGGTAGGACTGGATAAGTCTGACTTCTTCCTACTCCATTCAAGCATGTTCTAGGTATAAGCAAATTGATATTGGATTAGCATTTGTTGGATATGTGTAAAATTATGTGTGTTGTCATATCAACTGTCTTTACATGCTTGAAAGAATAAATCAAATCAAATCAAATCAATTGTACTACATCCTGGTGAAACGTTTAGCGTTCATTGTCCATAAACAGTCAATCACTCACTAAGATGTGACACAGACAAACATAGAGAATTGCCAACTGTGTCAGTCACTGCGTCAAATGGTATTGTTAGGACAGGATTAAGCACAAGATTGCCATGGAGATAAAGATCTTGTGTACAATGTGCATGCCAGGCTCAGTCCGAACATGACCTCATAAAGCACACCAATATGAAGAAAAAAAATCTCTCCTTTATTTGTCCAGTTGGCCTTGTTTAGCTGAAGGACAGAAAGGTCAAGAAGAGGGCAAAGTGGGGAAAATGACTTTTGACAGGAGTCAATCTCAACATCAGGAATATCAGGGCTTTTCTGCTGCTGGTCACTTCATTTCCTTTTCTCCATTTAACCCATTTTAAGTGATTGGCAGACTATTGAATATACCTGTGCCATTAAGTAAATAGACATTAGGCTATTTGATATCATTTCCATATAAGCCATTTTGATAACCACTAAAACCTTCAGTCTTTATACCAGATAATAACAGGCTACCTATAGTTCAATTTCAGCTCCGTTTTTCTGTGGATCATTATTACTCTCCCACCTGCCCACTCCAGAACCTGGTATAGGGCCTCCCAGTTATAAATGTTTAACAACATTTAACAGTTCTTCTAAATATAAAAGCAATATCTGCTCCACTTTCCACTCTCAAGGGATGCACTACACAGTGGGTTTCAGGCTTTCCTGTGTCCTTCTTACCTCTGCAGAAATTCACACACAGTTCTCAGTGGAAAGCTGCCACATTGCTGTCCATATTCCATGAAGCAGCAGAGATTTTCCTCCTCCTGTCAGCATGAACCAATCCAAACAGACTTGAAAGCAGAAATCGATTAGGGTGATGCAGGGCTCTCTGGATCGGGTTTAGCACTGGCAGAGCAGCACCTTTAGTTATTTGAGTCTGACAAACAGCTCAGTAGGCTAATGCTAAAAATGAATATATCTCCTTATGAACAGTGTGTAGAGGAGCAGAGCAATAAGGCAGGAGTCAATTGGAAAGTTCAAATATATAGAACCAAATGACTACGTGTGGCCTTAAAAAGGTTTGATTCAGGTCAGGAGTACAAGTTACAACAAACAGGTTCATGGTCAACCTTTGCTCAAGTATCTTACCTTTATATTGCTTTTTTGTAAAACTAATTTGAAAGGATTCAGTTAGCTGGTGCAAATGAATGGCAGTGTATCTTTATACGAAACTGAAAGACACACTGCCCATTGGTCAGATTTAATTGATGTCCCATGTGTTTAATAGGGAACGTTATAGTTAATCCACTTTTTGTCTGGACCCTACTGCAGCTGTTGACTCTAAGGGAATTGGTCTGTGAAATATGATTTAGCAATGGAGTGTCTAATTGTTATGCTTTCAAAGACGCAGTAGACTGTGGGTAGGGCCTTGTTGACAGTTTGTTTGCCTAGTTATATTTATGACAGGGAGCAGTTTCAGCCTAATTAACTAATTGTAACTGAGCTCCAAGTCATATTAGATCAGATTACTAGGGACAGGGGCTGAAAATTAGCTTTTAGCTGGATGCCCCATATGTACTGCACTGGTTGACTGAGTGTGACGATGGTTAGTTGTATGTGTCTCTGAAAAAACAAACACAAAAAACATTATCTGACTGAAGATAACCAGACAAAATGTACGATCCCCTGTATTATCTATGTGAGACCGTTCAGTTATGAAAAGCTTGGTTACACAAACACAGATGGAGCTGATGGTGAATGCAGTATATTTAGTGCTTTGTCAAATGCTTGTGCATTACTTTGTCTTTACATCTGATGCTCTGCACAGGAAGCAGCAGCATATGTTCACTTTCACCATCAACACAAGCACCTGCTGTCAATGACAATGTTTAGTCTCCTGTGTTTTCTTCAGTCAAAGCTCAGGTAGCTGAGTTTAGAGGAGTGAGCGTGTGATTGAAGAGTTGCTGTTTTGAATCTTTGAACCATGTGGATGAATCTGGGCAAAAGACACAGATGAGTAACAGTATTTATCATATCCAAGCAACTTGTCATAACTAAAATCTTTTACAATGACAAGAGAAGAAGACTGCTGTCAGGCATGAGTCATCCCCCCCACAGCCCCATTGATTATTCCAGAAACAAAGTACTCATCCAACCCTACCTAACCTCAAACTCTGACAGCGCACACAGACTGAAACACACAAAGTTCCCTGTATGCCTGCAGATGAACAGTAAAAAGGACAAAGTAAAGAGAGCAGAGGAAATTAGGAAGAAAAGGTAAAAGGTAAAAGTGAAGATAAACTAACATAAGCATTAAAGAGGAGGGAAAAAAGAGGAAGGACACACTGACATCAGAGCAGAAGTAGCACAGAGGTCTAGTCTTAGATATACAGTATATTATGTTGTCATTAAAAATATGTTGCTAGAATTTAAAAGTATAAATATAACTACATATAGCTAATATAACTACATGTTTCTGGTTTCTCTCTACATTTCCAGCATCTGACATGACAAGGTACCCAACAAGTGGACTACCAGTGTTAGCACCTTCCTCCATGTTATGGAAGTCTGCTACTCATTTTGGTTGATCACATAGCACGTAGTTGACAGCCAGCATGGAGGACAGCAAGCTCATATTCAGCCTGGACCACCACGATGAGGGCCCAACCGTGGCCTTCTCAAAAGACAAACCACAAACCAGGGAGAGTCGGACTGATTTCACTCTGGGGATTGATTTGGATCCGAGCCAAGACCATCACGCCAAACCCCGCTTCCTGCCTCACTCTCCATCCTCCCCAGGATCTTTAGCTGATCTGTCAGCATCATCAGCAGACCTGCTTGTCACCACCAGCTTGGTAAAATCCTGTTCCACAGACCTGGAGCTGAGGGAGAGTAGCTCTCTAAGAAGCAAGCCTCTCCTCAGCCTGGTCAAGTCCCTGAGCACTGAGATCTCTTGCCAGGTTGAGCCAGAGGTCAACCTCTCCAAGTCTGACTCTAAGCTACATTTGCATCCCTTGAAGCAGCTTACCCGGCCAAAGATCCCAGAGGCCAGGTCAGAAGCAGGAGGACTCCATGAGAATGGTGACTGGACGTCACCTTCTTCCACTGGCAGCATGTCTCCCATTGAAGCTCGAGGCAGTTCGCTGATTGCTGAGCTCGAGGACACACGGAGGAAGTTCTCTGAGGCCATGCAGGAACCACTGAGCATGTTGAGTAAGATCATGGGTGATGAAAGCTCTGGCATCTCCAAGCAGTGGGGGGCATCTGGTACGGGAGACTCCCTGACCTCCCAAGGTAGCTGTGGAAGAGAGGTGAGTAGTGAAGATGCAGACCTTAAGTACCGGAGGTGGACTGATGGTGAGCACAAAGGTGTGTGTAATGCTCCTCTGAGAAGACTCCAAAAGGGTTCGTTAATAAAATCCTCTGTGTCCCCAGAACATCCTACCCATAGCAGAGACAGCCGCTTGGAGATCCATACTTATGGAGACATGATTCAGGCCATGGAGCTCCAGAAAGGCTCCACAGGGACACAACATAAAACTTACAGCCAGCTTCGAGGCACAGTCCCTGCCTCATCACTGCCTCTTCACTGGCTCATCCCTGTGGGACTTCTCACCTTTGGGTTCTTTGTGCTGCCCTTGCCCTCCTATGTAGCCAGTCTGTCTGTGGGGATCGGATGTGGCTTTATACTGGGCCTGGTGGTCGTGTTCATGTTTGTCCCACGATACTCAGTTGCCAGATGTAACAAGGACTCTCGGTTCAG